GCAATCCTTCGCCATATGCCCCTCCTTGACACATTTGTAGCAAATCCCTTCCCGATAAGCTCCTTCACAACTTTTTTCGTACTTTCCACAAGTGCGGCCCTTCTGGCCTCCTGATCTCGAATCAGCGGGCTTAGCCTGCTTGGCTGCCAGCTACGACTACGTTGGCCGCCGGTCTCTCCCCTGAGACTGTGCGTCCTCCCTTGCCTGAGTCTCCAGCTCGATCTCCCTCCTCCTAGAATTTTCCTGGAGCTCAGAGAATATACGGTAAGATGAGTTTGCCACAAACTCCCGAATATCCCTCCTCAAAATGCTCAAGTACCGACTCATGCGTACCTGCTCATTCGCCACATGCTCAGGGCAAAACAACGCCCTCTCGTGAAACATCCGCGTAATCACAGTCACCGAATCTGTCTTCTGTATAGGAGACAAAAACTCCTGGGCCAACCATTCCCTCTGAACAGGGGGAACATACTCAACTCGGAACATCGCGATGAATCGCTTCCAAGTCACTGCAGCATGCTCTACAGGGGTGAAACTAGCCGTCACAAACTTCCACCAATCCTTCGCTCCCAAGCGAAGCTGGTTCAGCGCGAACCGTACCCTCAGTTTCTGTGGGCATGAGCAAGTGTAGAAACATCCCTCAACATCAAATATCCACCTCATCATAGCAATTAGATCCTGGGTCCCATCAAACTCTTGTGGCTTCGTGTTGCTGAACTCCCAGTACAGCAATGAGTCACTCCCCTACGGTCTGGCAGTAGCGACAGCTGCAGCAGTAGCCGCCTCGGAAACAACAACATATCGCTCATCAAAAGTATCAATCAAAGTGGTCTTTATAGACACAAACATCTCCGAAATAGCCTCTCAGATGGCTGCAGCCACCTCATCATTAATCATCCGACGAATCTCATCATCGCTAACTCCACAACTCACTTGGGTGTGGCGCGTACCTACCATGATGTCTCTAAAACACAATACAAAATCATCAGAAACTTGCTCGGGAATACTCACACTCGACTACTCATCCCTACTTGCTCCTTAGCGTCCCAAAGATTCTTACTTGGATTGCTTACAGACCGGGTCTTTCAGTAGTACGGGCCCAATACTACCTTCCACACCCCATCTGCAGTCTCCCCAAGTCCTCCTCTTAGGATTCTAATTCACAAATACTCTATGTCTCATGAATATCCAGCTGCTCTCTCAGTAGATCCCTCTCTTAAGTTTATCTAAGTATCTCTTCCTAGATCATCTCCCGACTCAAAACTCAGCTTATACGTAAGCAAATAACAGATAACACTGATCGAAACATCTCCTAGACTAAGGCATCACAAATCAGTCAACTCTAGCCCTAAAACATGGAATACTTAGCCTACCATCTAGCATGCAATCTTAGCAAAATATCTCATAACACAAATGTAAGGGTATTTTGGGAAATCACCGTTCGGGCTCTGGCTAATTGTACACACTGCTTCCACTTGTTTTCTCTTAAAACTCTTTCTCGCTTTGGAAAAATTTCTCTTCTTTTGAAAATTCTTCTCAAATCCTCAGTTTGAGTCCAAACACACCCGAAGGTGCATCCGAATCCCTCAAACCAAGGCTCTGATACCAACTTGTAACGACGTAAAATTTTAACTAAATTTGAAATTTCAAAACACATTATTTTTAATAAATAATTATAAAATGCCACAATGTTAATTCACTAGACCTCATGTTCAGAAGAAATCAATGTATCAAACTCCAGGATCCCCTAAATCATAAAACAATCTCCAGTGTGTGTGTACAATCAAGTCGGTGCCTTCCCGTGATCCTGATAAGTACCTGAAACACATAACACATACATTGGAAGCATAAAGCTTAATGAGTTCCCAAAATACCACACACAACACATTAGCCACTCGAGCCTATAACTCTGTATGACCCTCCGGTCAATGTGTCTCAATGGGACCCTCTAGTCCCAACTCATCAAACTCAATAATAACAATACTCAACATAAATCACAAAGACATAATGCGGAATATCAAATACACAGATAATCACAATAAGCAACTCAATCACACAAGGCACCACTCAAGGCAAGTATAGTGAGAAGACTCACCTTGCAAGAAGTCAGCAAAACTTGAACCCAAACCACCGGTCTAGCCTCCGCCTAACATAGACAACAATTATCCCTAATTAATCACAGCTCTCAAGAGGCTACACTTTCTCATAGAAGGATAAACGACCACTTTACCCCTCAATGGTCCTAATTGTCCATAATTTAAGCTAAACCCTAAAAGTCAACAAAATTCAACAACAGGGAGTACGCCATGCGTACCAGCTCCCTACGCTTGACGTACTCAGCTGCCATGCAGATATCAGGGATGCACGACCCCTACGCTGCGCGTACTAGAATTATGCCTGACGTACACTCCAGTTTCACCCTTCTCACTTATTTGGTCTTAAATAGTTAAGACCTTGGCTCATATCTCAGATCTAGACTCTCTAATAAGTCTTAACCCATAAATTCAGGGACTTTAAACCTTTGTATGGATGGAAAGGTCCCAAACACACTAAAAATTCACCCTCTTATGACAAAAATCACATATCTCATCCATGGCTTGACCCCAACGTCCAAGATAGGATTTTTATGACTCTACACCACTTAATATACTCAAAGGGGGTGGATCATGGTCTCTGGAGTGCAATATCACATAAAGTCTCCAACTTTTGGGACAAAACCCTAGAATACTCTACCAAGATGCAAAAACCAAAAGAGTGAGAAAGTTACAAGCTTTATACCTCAAAATGAAGCTCCACACTAAGAGAAGCCTAGATCCAAGGGCTGAAATTCCACTCCTTCTTCTTCAAGACTCATTCTTCACTCCAAAGTAACTCAAGAATGCTCCCAAGGCTCTCTAATGCACTTACAAGCTCTAAGAATAGAAACTAGGGTTTAAGAGGGTTGGTGACTGAGAATGGTGGCTAGGAATGAGGACATCATATCCTTTAAATAGGGGTCTCACCCTAAATTAGGGTTTTCAAACTGAGCCTAGTATGCCTAGCGTGCCCTCTGGTAGTCCCAGCGTACTAGGTGGCTTCTGCATCAAATGCACGCATATGAGTACGCTGAGCGTACACTCGAGTATGCAATGCATACTCATTCACCACCTTTTCTCATAAAGGGACTAAAATAGCCAAATACTCAAAAGACCAAGGGTCACGGGGTATACCTCCCCACGCCAATGGTGATCCCATAAACACCACCAATCAAGAAGAAATATTATAACCCCCAATGAAGATTCAGCACACGTATCTTCTTAAGTTTCCAACAGTGGATTAATATCTAGAACAATTACAGATGTTGATATTATCCCTAAATCACTATGTTCAATCTACAGTATTAACTTCCTCATTTGCAATCCCAATGAATTGGCTTTCTCTTGCTGGTTCCACAATGGTTTGCAAGAAAACCATAAAGGTTGTTATATTTCAACCGATGAATAACAAGTTGCAAAAGCTTATGAAGAAGTAGTTTGCCAAAATCATGAAGTTTCCTGTTTCAGGTACTTTTTATGAAGTCACCGATGAACAAGTTCTACACATGTTCAATGAGATGGGGGCATCAACCAGTTCTAACTGGCATAGGTCTATCTATAAAATTGAGTCTTCCCTATGTATGGAGTTTTCATTTTGGAATTGTATCGTGATTCTTGACTAGTCATAGTTTAGGGTTAGACAAAGCAAAATTCAAAGTCTATGCTATGCTTGCTGGGTATACTATGATTTTAATGTTGATTATGCCACGCAGCTATGGGAGGAATTTGGATCAGTAATTAATCATACTAATATGAAAAATGGTGTTTCATGTGCTCGATACTGGAGTTTAAATCTCAAAGAGGTTTATAAACAAGAAGGCATTTGGTTCCATCTGATGTCAAAACTGTTAAGTTTTCAATGTTGGCTGCTCCAAGACATGTTGTTGATGATCTAGTCATTGTTCGTAATGTTGCTCGCATTCCAGATGCGATGCTAAGGCATATTGATCCTTAAAATCCAATTCTTGTTCATTACTTGGCATCGATTGATGCTAATGTTTTTGTTGGTGTTCTTCCACCGAAAGGGGCTAAGGGTTCTTCCAAAGTTGTTAAATTAATGAAGAAGAAGAAGAATCAAACTTAGAAACCATAACCTATGGTCGAGGATGTTTCTAAAGAAATTATTCCTTCGAAGACTAGTATTCTCAAGCGAATCAAGAATCCATCCAAGAGGCCTCGTGATTCTCCAATTAGGCCATCCATTCAAGAACCCAAAACTAAGCCAACTGAGAAAACACAAGTTGATTCTTTGTATACGCATTCATCTTAGAAGGGTATAAAAAAGGTTAGAAAGCCTCAACCAACAGAAGAGGTGTGCAATTTAGAGAAGTTCATGTTCCTGTCTCTCTAGCTTCGAAGAAATGACATGCGTTCGATATGGCTTAGAAATTACAACAAAAGAAGAGAAAGCATCAAGACACACTTGGTCAGGTCATTGTCAAAACTGATAATGACAATAATAGTGAGAATATTCGTCATGATGATTCTAGGCTTGGGTCACCTCGAAGGGATTCTCCTATCAAGTCGATTTTTGAGGAGACATGAAATCTTGGTTTCACTGTAAATGTATCTAATACAGATACAAACAGTAATTTGAATGATCAAACATCTACATCCATCCCTGAGAAGACCAAGGTCATACCACTAGGGGCTTAACATACTAAGTCTTATATAGAGAAGGTTCGAACTCCAGACATCACTATAAACTTATCTGATAAGGACACAAAAGTCAATATGGGTGAAGGGGTGCAGAATAACAAAGCCATTGTTACTTCAAGTCTTGAAACATCATCCATTCCTACTTCCACTATAATCTCATCCACCATCCAAACTTCTACTTTCGAAACATTCACTTTATTATGACTTTCATCACCTATCCCAACTTCATTACAAATCTCAACTATTTCACCAACTTACTCCACAATCATGCATGAACCCAATATTACTCTCCCCTCTTATCAATCCACTAAAGCTAAGAGAATAGTTCAAGAAGATGAACCAAATGATGATGACATCATGGTTTCTTTTTCTGATTTGCAGTTAAATCCAGATGAGGATAGTGTTCTTAATGGCATGATCATGTCAGGTAAACAATTCAAAACCCTAACTCCAAAATCAGTTCTCTTCTACAAATTCAATCATATACTGGGGGAAGGAATTCTGTTACTGGGGTAGAGATGAATTACTTGTTAATGTCTCAGGAAATTCATCTTTTAATTTTGGTAGAAAGTCTTGAAAAGAAACAGGTCGAAAGGTTGAATATTCATTCTAAAAGTTTTAAGTATTAAATTCAGAAGCTTCGAGATGTTTCGAAGGAGGGTCATGATCTTTTTGTTCAGCAACTCACAAAGATGAAGGAGTATGTGGATCTGAAAATGGCTGAAATCAAATTGGAAATGGCCACAGAGGTGGAGAAGATGGAGAAGAAGTATACTTTGTTGCATAGAAAAGTTGATGTTATTGCAACTGCTATCACAAAGTTAGTCGAATTCAATATTGATTATTCGACTAAGCTTGAAGAAAAATCAGAGAAGGATTCCCGGGTGTTTGTCAAGCTGGAGGAATTCTTATCAAGTATCAAGGAATCAATTTTGAAAGTTGATCTTTTGAACAGTAGTCTGTTTCTCAAGAGTCAATCTCTCAATTGGTTTGAATATTGAGACCAATATCAAAGAAGATCTTGCTACCATCCTTGAGTTGGTTCTTCTCTTACTAACGAATGTTTCATGTGTCGTGAAAGTGTCACAAAGGGGAGATAAAGGTTATGGAGGTGTTGTAGCTACAGTTGTTGGAAAAGTGATTTCGAATGAGATACCAACTTCACTTGCTATTTGACTAACCACAACTTCAACAACAAAAACAATACCAATCACAAAAGGGATCATAATTAATGAAGGATTTGGAGGATCAAGTTCAATTTATGTGCCACCACCTTCAAAAATGATAAAGGTGATAAAGGGAAAGCTATTTCAGTGGTTTCTTCAGAAGAAGAGAAACAGAAAAAACAAGCTCTGGAGATTGAGAAACAAAGACAAATCAATAGCATAATATGGAAAAAACAGAATGATCCACCGGGCTTGAATAAGGGTGATCCAAAAAAGCAGTAATGTTACGAAAGCATTGAAGAAATTTTTTCATTTGGGCGGAATGACTTTTTTTCGAAAATTACCTAAGAAGAGTTATGAGATAGAGAATAATGATTTAATTTAGTTGACTTCCCATTGAATCACATTTGTTATTCTCTTCCCAATTCAAAATCATTGAAAACTTCAAAGATAAAGAAGAATTCGAAAGACTAAAGATACGATTTCATGCAGTTTTCGGGAAGAATGAAGAAGAAGTATGGTCATTAGTGAAGATTGTCAAGGTGTTGAAAATTATTTGAGAAAACTTGTTTGAAAGCATTCTACAAAACGTTTTCTATGTGGTTGTTACAGAGAATAATGTGATTTTTGAATTTTCAATTGTTGATTTCCCATTAATGAACTTGACGGACTTAGTCACTGCGACAAGGTTTTTAAGCAATGTGGATGTTTTGAAGCTGAAAGAAACCAAAACTGATGTATTTCTAATTGGTTTTGCTCATATCAAAGTTTTCATTAACAACTATTATGACTACCTCACAATTACTGATATTGAGCTTACTATTGTAGTTAACAAGTCTTCGAAAGTTCCTCTTTACTGAAGGGGAAGATGAATATAGACAAGTATGAAGATGGGGAGATTATTCATCAACCACTGGGAGTTGTATTTCAAGGAAAGAATAAGAATGAGAGGATGACAAAATTCTTTTTTTTTTTTAAGTATGTGATTTGGAGAGGTATACGAACGCTCAATATATAAATCTTCTTATTCGAGTCAACAACTACAAGAAAAATGAAGCTAAAGACAAGGTAGAGATACAAAAGATGATTTTGTGCTATATGGAGGTTCACAATGTGCGTCAACAGACTTTGAAGCTTCTGGCGTAATTTCGACTATTCTCACTAAGTGGAAGATTATAGGGGTCGAAATGTAGTTAGTGAGACGTTGAAACTCTTTTAGTCTATAAGGGAGCGAAATTATAATGATTTCAACTCTACATGTATTTGCAAGGAACATGTCGAGTTTGAACTAGAACGTTTAGTCCTTGTACTTTTTGCTTTGTGTAACAGTCTATAAATATGGTAAGTATTAAGGTCAAGAGTAAATTTTGTGCTCTTAAGTTTGTAAAACACTCTCAACTCTTGTACTCTTTTATAGACATAATATAAGTCAATCAGATCTTATTTACTTGACGTGTTTATTCTGTTTTCTATGATTGATTTCATATTCATTACTCGGTTCTAATACACATCATATATATTTGTACTCTGATGTTTTGGAATACTGTAATGGATTATGGTTTTTGGTACAATCAATTAATGAAATTAATAGTTTTTAAATGAAAATTTTTATTATTGTTATTGGGTTGTTACATTACATCTAGGAATTTTATTATGGTAGATCTTGGATTAGCCATGAGTTTTAGTTAAAAATTCTAATGAGTTTCTAATAGAACATTTCAAAATTTAGCTTATGTTCAGTCGTATACAAACTCCAGTATAAAAATAGGTTTACAAAGAGATTAAACCAAGCTATAGAATATGTTTACGAAGAGACTAAACCAAGTACACAAAAATAAGTTAGTCACTATAATCAACATATATCGCCTTGACAAAGAAGCAAATTTGACATATCATAATATAAACAATCAATGACCAACCACACAAAATACCAAAGAAATTAAAATCCAATTCCAATTTAACATATACTGTAGGTCTTACCCAGTTGTTAGAAATGAGAACTATAATATATTAATAACCTAGATTCCCTACTTATGACACAAATATACCATTACCTTCAACTCTATGACACCTGCCAAGTAACCCTTGTGGGTAACTAATCCTCATGACTAAGCCCATATCTTATTCCCAGGTAAGGTGATTCCACTGAAAGATCTTTATGTCCAAGACTCATTATAATATGATATTTGCTAATGACATATGATCCTATAGGGTCATACATTATAGTAAGTTACTACCTATTGATTATTTATTAAATATATTTGATTATTAATAAATATAATCAAACTTTTATTTAAATCGAAAATCGTTATGTTATGACATTAGTATTTTACCATCTTATTGGGAATTATTGTTCCTAGGAAATAATAATAAAAGGGAACATTAACTAGTTATATTCATAAGCCATGAATATATATGTTGTTTACAAATTAAATGGGCACTTTGATTAACCATCTAGTTCATATGTAACTAACTAAGACACTCAAAAATACCATCTTGGGAGCACATAATCAAATTCTTCACCAGTTTGAGAATATGTTTCTTGTTGGCTTTCGTACTTCCCATCACATGCCTCCTGTAAGTCCCATACTTTCATTTATTGAAAGTATGGTATTTTGTACTTATGTTGTAACACATGTTTCAAGGTATTTCCATTTTCAACCTTAAAATTTTCATTTCTTGGAAAGTATGTGCTTATATTGGGCATACATGAAGTGTACACATCTTTGTACATCTACAGAAGGTATAAATTCCTTGAAGCTTGCTTTGCTAGATCTTGTTATGGTTTAAATTTATTTTCATTTTGTCCCAAAACCTTGGTATTTTTTAGTATGGACCACTCCCGAACATTTGAGCTGTCCTTTCAGACATTTTTGAGTGAATTATGTCATAAAAATGCAAGCTTGTAAGTCTACAAAACAAGATCCAACTAGTGATCAAACACTCAATCAAGTAGAAGTCAATAACCAAAAGAAGGAGTAGAAGCAAAGAATGATCCAAAAATGCACACACCTATTAGGGCTACAAACATCAGGTACACTTGGATACTCTCACATATGACTACTGTTCGTCTGAAACTATTTATAGGGACTAACCAACTGCAAACGTGTTCACAGCCGTACACACGTTCACGGTCGTGAACACCCTCACAACCGAAAACACAACCGGACACCCATTACATGACCAAGCCCTATCAAGACGTATACAGATTATTGCCTAGCCCAAACCAACAAAATGTGACCTAACAGTCCCCCCTTTGGTTTGAGCTAGCATAGATTCAGTCTTTCTCGACGACCAGGACATCCGATCTCCTCATAGCACCCAACCACATATTTTTCTCGATAAGTTATGCGATCATGCTTGTGAACTCCTTAGTAGCTTCCTTAAAAATCTCTTAATCACATAAAATTTGATGCTAAGCCAAGGTGTGGATGTCCCTTTCACCGAACTGAAGCAGATTCCTCTTGTCAACAATGCGGAAAACCCCATCTGGGAATTTGATGACAACAGAGGCTGTTGCATCATCATAGACCTAGTATTCCATCTTACATAAAGATCCATCACAAAAGTTCTTCACAATTGGAATATGTTTCATCTGCGTTGTTGGGGGCCACATAACATTCGTGAAGCTCTTATTGGTCTTTGGGTCAAACACATCCTTGGCTCTCTTCAGAAAAGATTTAGCCGTCTTCATCCCATAAAATTTTCTCTTAATTTGATTTTCCAAGAAGAGTTTGAAGTCTGTTCCACACTGGTCATTTAAGGGATTTAGAGAATGGGGCTTCTGAGAGCTCTATAAGATCCACCTTGGTCGGAGAAGAGAAATCATTATTGTCTTTACAATATTCCACCTTACCACCCTTGAGCTTGATAAGCCAACAATTTATTTTATCATGAAAACCCCATATACGAATCCCTGACCTGTCACCGTATCGATCTCCGAACCTCCTTTTTCCGAGATCCGTCACACTGATTTGGGGCTGGTCTCCACGAACATTCTGATCAGAATTTTTCATGAAGAGCCATTTCCCTTTTTTCTAAGATGAAGTCGATTGACGGTCTTGCTTAAGAGTAACTCTTTGAGGCGCTTGAGCTGGTTCAGTTTCAAATTGGTCAACGACTCATGTGGTTATGACTGGAGGAATGTCATCAAGCCGATCAGATTGTGATGTACTGGCTGGGGCAGATTGGGAGGTCTCGACTGCCTTTGGATCTTCGACTGTGGTCTTGAACTTGTCACCAGATTAAGCAATAAGCTTATTTTTCAAGTCAAAGTATCCAGCTTTCAGTGGTCCAAGATTGACTTGCAGAGTGGAGATTTCTTTTAACTTTAATGTATTTTCTTCTTCAAGTTCAGAAACTCAAACATCGAGGTTTCCAATCAAAACATATTTTTAATAAGCTTTTGGTTCAAAGCTCCAATCTCTGCTCTCATATGAAAATCGATAGATCCGCTTCTCCTACACTTCCTTCCTCAATAGATATACCTTTGGCTCGAGAGGAAGGATCAAAATCTTGTTGTGCCAATAACCTAGCAAGCCTCTCAGTAGTTGCATCACCATCTTCATTAACCATATTATACATCAAACCTCTCTCAAAATCACTTTCATCAACATCTTCTGCATCTTCATCTTTATTGGCCTCTTCATCTGTAACAGGCGCATGCTCCACGACAATGATAACAACCAGGGGAACATGCTCTTCCTCATGTTTTGAAGCAGTAATAACCTTGTCTTTAGTTTCTTCAGCATTTGAGGATTCTTCAGGCTCAATTGCATCACTAACTTCTACGAACTGACCAAACTTCACCAATGGATATTTTCCTTCAAACATAA